TCTAACCCAACTCAAACCTACCCAAGTCAACCCAACCCACGGTTCTTTGACCTTGAAGGACCCTTCCAACCAACCCACGGTTCTTTGACCTTGAAAGACCCTTCCAACCCAACCCATGGTTCTCTGACCTTGAAGGACCCTTCCAACCCAACCCACGGTTCTCTGACCTTGAAGGACCCTTCCAGCCCATTCTATAGCCCCACGACTTCTAACGTTCCCTCTAACCCAACTCAAACCTACCCAAGTCAACCCAACCGACGGTTCTCTGACCTTGAAGGACCCTTCCAACCAACCCACGGTTCTTTGACCTTGAAGGACCCTTCCAACCCCTTCTGTCCCCCACGCCGCCGTACCTCGCAGACGCCGCAGCGCCGGCGCTTCGTGGCGTTCTCCTTATCGTCCTCCCTCTCGTCCTTCTCGATCTGCTCCGAGAAGAAGGTGTCGAAGATGAGGTACACCAGCTTGGTGGTGGTGGCCTTGGTGGGGCCTTTGTCCTTGTCGATCCTGGTGGGGTGACGGATGGCCTGGCGCCGCACAGCACGCCTGCAGGGATGGGGAAGGGTCAGCGTCCCACCATGCGGGGGGCAGTGGGGCCCACAGCCGGGTGGTGGCCAGAAGGTACGACCCCAAAATGGTGGTGCGGTGGGACAAGGAGCCGAGTAATGGGAGCCCAACCCCACTGCCCTGCTTCAAAATTGTGTTAATTCCTAGGCAATGGGTTTTCCTTGGAGTTTTGGGGGGTTTCTGCTCAAATTTCCCAACGCCGCCCATGCGAGGAGGGCACCCACACGAAACCCCACAAGGATGACCTCAAAATGGTGCTTCAGAAGAACAAGGAGCCAAGTTATAGGAACCCAACCCAACATCTTGCTCCAAAATGGATTTCCCATCTTGGGCAATGGGTTTTCCTTGGAGTTTCAGGGGATTTCAGCCAAGAATCCCAATGGCACCCACACTATGAGGACATCTACAAGCTGGTAACCCCAAAATTACGCTGCAGTGCTTCAAGGAACAAAGTTATGGGAACCCAACCCAATATCTTGCCCTAAAATTGATTCTTCCTCCTGGGCAACGGGTTTTCCTTGAAGTTCTGGGGGATTTCTGCCCAAATTTCCCAGTGCCACCCACCCTATGAGGGCACCTAAATGATACCCCACAAAGTTTGACCCCGAAATGATGCTGCAGTGGGAGAAGAGCCAAACTCCAAGAACCCAACCCAACGTCTTGCTCCAAAATGGACTTTCCATCTTGGGCAATGGGTTTTCCTTGGAGTTTTGGGAGATTTCAGCCAAGAATTTCAGCCCAGAATCCCAATGGCACCCACACTACGAGGACATCTACAAGCTGGAAACCCCAAAATTACGCCACAGTGCTTCAAGGAACAAAGTTATGGGAACCCAACCCTAAAATTGATTTTTCCTCCTGGGCAACGAGTTTTCCTTGAAATTCTGGGGGATTTCTGCCCGAATTTCCCAGTGCCACCCACCCTATGAGGGAACCTAAACGATATCCCACAAAGTATGGCCCCGAAATGATGCTACATGGGAGAAGAGCCAAACTCCAAGAACCCAACCCAACGTCTTGCTCCAAAACGGATTCTCCTTTCTAGGCAATGGGTTCCCCCCCACCCAGACAATGAGTTTTGGGGGATTTCTGCTCCAGTCTCCCAACGCCACCCACACTGTGAGCCCATCTACAGGATACTTCACCCCAAAACGAGACCCCAAGTCTTCCCCCAAGACGGATTCTCCTTCCCAGGTAATGTGATTTCCTGGTAGTTCTGGAGCCAAACGATCACCTCCAAGAGGATCCCACCCAACCCACCTCGCTGCCCCCCACCCAGGACACGGGTCTCACCTCTTCCCCAGGGTGACCCCGGCCAACTTGATGAGGTCCCTCATGCAGGGGGTGATGAGGACGGGGGGCTCATCGCTGTCTCCAGCTTCGTCGTAGCTCTCCACCTGCTCCACCACGAACTGCGCGTGCCGCAGGAGCGAATCCTCTGTGAAGCGGTTGAAGTTCAGCCCCACGGGAGGGACGGTGGTCTGCGAGGAGTTGGGGGGGAGGTGGGCACGTTAGGTGAGGGGGGTGGGGCGGCGGTGCGTGCGGGGGTGAACGGGGAGGAAGGGTTTGGACCCCCGGCGCCGGGTCGCTCGCCTCGATCTTGTTGAGGAGGTCCTCGTAGCTGACGTCGCGGTTGTTCTGCAGGAACTCGACGACGATTTTGCTCATGTAGATCTTCTCCTGCATCAGGGCGAAGATGGGCGCGTATTCCTCGCTGGGCTCCATCAGGATGTAATCGGCGAAGGCTGCGGGGAGGAGGAACGGTCACGGGGTGGGGTGGGTGGGAGGGGGGGCCTGAAGTGGTGGAATCGGGGGGTTGGGGGTGGCCTGGGGGGGTCCTGAAGGTCACAGAAGCACGGGATGGGGTTGGGTTGGGTTGGGAGGGTCCTTGAAGGTCACAGAACCACAGAATGGTTGGGTTGAGTTGGGTTGGAAGGGTCCTTGAAGGTTGTAGAACCTTGGAAAGTTTGGGTTGGGTTGGTAGGGTCCTTTAAGGACATAGAACCACAGAATGGTTGGGTTGAGTTGGGTTGGAAGGGTCTTTGAAGGTTGTAGAACCTTGGAAAGTTTGGGTTGGGTTGGAAGGGTCCTTGAAGGTTGTAGAACCTTGGAAAATTTGGGTTGGGTTGGAAGGGTCCTTGAAGGACATAGAACCACAGAATGGTTGGGTTGAGTTGGGTTGGAAGGGTCCTTGAAGGTTGTAGAACCTTGGGAAGTTTGGGTTGGGCTGGGTTGGGTTGGGTTGGGTTGGGTTGGAAGGGCCCTTGAAGGTCAGGGAATCAAGGAATGGTGACTGCATTGGAGAAGTCCTTAAAGACTGAAGACCCACAGAATGGGGTTGGATTGGCTTGGAAGGGACCTGGAAGGTGACAACCGTGGAATGGGGTTGGGTTGGGTTGTGTTGGGTTGGAGGGGTCCTTAAAGATCACAAAACCACAGAATGGGGTTGGGTTGCATGGAAGGAATCCTTGAAAATCACAGAACTACAGAACAGGGTCGGGTTGAGTTGGAAAGGTCCTTAAAGATCACAAGACCACCAAATGACATTGGATTGGACGGGACCCTTGAGACCCCCTGGCTCCAACCCAGCCGTGGAGGGGCTCAGCCCAAGAAGCAAAGACCCCGACCCACCGCTCACCCACCTGTGGTGAACCCAATGAGCGCCTTCTCCCCTCCGTCGAAGCCCGTGATCCACCACGCGTTGATGGGCCCCAACTTTTTGGCCCTCACCCCACCTGCAGGAGGAGAATCCGCCCCACCTCAGCCCCCGGGGCCGCAGGGCATCCAGTCCCAGAGACGGATGGGAGCTCACCATCCAAACACGGGTTGTCGTCGTAGATGGGCTTCACAGCCCCGCTGAAATACAGCTCGATGTTGCGCTCGATCAGCCCGGTGTCGAAGGGGCACAGATGGCCGCGTTTGTCGTAGACGCTGACGGGGACGGATTCACACTTGGAGTTTTTTGGGGTGCGTTTTTCCCACCAGATTTCCCAACCCGGTGGGTTTTCGCAGTCTGGTTTTTTGCGCTTTTTTGTTTGTTCGGTTGGTTTTTTCCCCCCCCCGTCGGGTCCAGCTGCTCACCTGAAGGAGGTGACCTTGTGCTGAGGGAGGTCCTCGTAGCTCTCAAAGCCGTCCTCGTTGGCGTCGAAGATGGACAGGCGCTCATCCGTCAGCATTTCGGGCTCCTCCAGCTGAGACCCAGAGCGGAGAGCAACTTTAAGGACCCAAACCCACCATCAGCCCTTGGAGATATCCCCGCTGGCGTCGCCCGAGGGAGGGAATGGAGACGCCATTACCGCATCGTCGGGGTCCCCTTGGAAGAATTTGAGGTCGGGGTCGTCGAGGTACTGCCGGCAGTCGACGCATTTGGGAGGGGTGGTCTGTAAGACACGCGATGCGCCGTGAGCTCCTCCCTCCCACAACGTCCAACCGCGTTGGGATTCCGATTTCCGAAGCGTCTTTGGGTCCGGTTCTGCTCTGGGGCAGCTCTGTGGGGAGGAAAGGGCTTCACCCTCTTTGTGGGAGAGCCCAAAGGGTGACGAAGAGCCCCCGAAATCTGAGGCGCGACCCGAACGCCAACTCACTTTGGCGGGTGTTGAGGTTTTAACCTGAGTAATTTCATCCTTTATCTCAGATCTGCGGGGAAGAAAACAGCGACGCCGTCAGCCCCACAGCCGAGGTGAGCCCTGAGCAGGTTGAGCCCCACATCTTCCCCCCAGTGGGATCCGAATGGACCGCAGGGAAAACAGCGCTGCGCTCCTCACCCTTCTTTGGTTTCGATTTTAATCCTCTTCTCGTCTTGCTCCTTGTGGAAGAATCCCTCGATGAGGTGACAGAACGCGTTCGTGTCCTCCCAAAAATACAACCCAACCCAACCCAAACCCAACCGCGACCTCACTGAACCCAACTAAGACTCAACCCAACCAAAACCCAACCAAAACTCAACTGAGACCCAACCCATGCGAGACCCAACCAAAATCTGACCCAACCCAGACCCGACCCAACCAAGATGTAACCCAACTGAGATCCAACCCAACCAAAACCCAACTAAAATTCAATTCAGACCCAACCCAACCAAAACCCAACCAAAACTCAACTGAGACCCAACCCAGGCAAGACCCAACCCAACCCAAACCCAACCCAGCCATGACACAACTCAACCAAAACCCCACCCAACCATGAGGCAACTGAGACCCAACCCAATGAAAAATGAACTCAACCAAGAGCTGACTCTACCAAGACCCCGCCCCACCGAGACCCCACCAACTCCAATCAAAACCCACCCCAAACGAGACCCAGCCGTGACCCAATCCTACAAAATCCTAATGAGGACCCAACTCAAAACGCAATCCAACTGCACTGAGACACAACCCAGCCCAAGAACCAACCCAAGCAAGACTTAACCAGGACCCAACCCAACCAAGACCCCACCGAGACCCAACCAAAACCCAACCCAACCATGACTCAACCACGACCCAACTGAGACCCGACCCACCCAAGACCCCACCTAAAACCCAGTCCAACCAAAACTCCACCAAACCCAACCAAAACCCCACTGGATCAAACCAAGATGCAACCTAACCAAGACCCAACCCAAGACCCAAATCAAACAAAACCCAACCAAGACCCAACCAAGATCCAACCCACCCCAACCAAAACTGAACCCAACACCCAACCGAACAAGGGCCCCAATGAACCCCCCAAAAACTCAATCTTACCAAAACCCAGATCCTGACCCAACCCAACCCAACAAAGACCCCAATGAAGCCCCCAAAAACTCAATCTTACCAAAACCCAAATCCTGACCCAACACCCAACCCAACCAAGACCCCAATGAAGCCCCCAAAAACTCAATCTTACCAAAACCCGAATCCTGACCCAGCACCCAACCCAACCAAGACCCCAATAAACCCCCCAAAAACTCAATCTTACCACGACCCAAATCCTGACCCAACACCCAACCCAACAAGGACCCCAATGAACCCCCCAAAAACTCAATCTTACCAAAACCCAAATCCGGACCCAGCACCCAACCCAGCAAAGACTCCAGTAAACCCCCCAAAAACTCAATCTTACCAAAACCCAAATCCTGACCCAACACCCAACCCAACAAAGACCTGAGATCCAACTGAAACCCAACCACGACCCAACCAGGACCCAAACGAAACCCAACCAAGACCTGACCCAACCGAGACCCGACCAAGACCTGACCCCACCACGTCCCCCAGTGGAACCCCCACCACGCACCTTCTCCTCCAGCTCCTCCTCCTCCTCCTCGTCCCTCTCGGCGCTCACCTCCGGCTTCACGGCCCCATTCACCTCCTCCGATTTCCTTTTGGTGGACCTGTCGGGCCAGCCAACGGCGTTCCACGTTGGGGTGCAACGACCTCTTACTTCAAACCCCACTGTTTTTTTCCCCTGGAACCCCACAGACTGGGGGGTGGGAAGAGGAAGGGGGTACCGACCCTTTAGAAAACACGCTCAGGATGCTGGGCTGCCGGCCGGAGCTGCGGGTGATGCGGGAACTGGCAGGAGATTCTGTAGGCGACGGCGAAGCTCCGCATGAGCACCACAGAACCCGACCCCAAATCCCCCTCCTCACCCCCAGAGACCCCCAAACCCCCCCCCCCAGGGGCGCTGGGATGGAATCCCACCCCTCACCCAGGGGAAACGGGGGAGGTGGGCAAAGCAGAGGCGTTACTTTTGCTCTCCCCGTTGGATCGGCTCCGCCGCGCTTTGCGAGCCCGCGGCGCCGGGAGCAGCGAAGAGGAAGAGGAGGAGGAGGAGGAAGAGCAGGAAGAAGAGGAGGAAGAGGAGGAGGAGGAGGAGGAGGCGGCTGCTTCCTCCACCTCCATGGCTCCGTCCTCCCCCCCCCCGCCTTGCTCCCACTCCTCCTCGCTGTTCCTGGCGCAGCCATTGGACGCGCGGCGGAACAAAGTGGCCGCGTCGCCATTCTCTGCCGCGAGCTCCCGGCGCAGGAGGGCTTTCACCTTGGCCAGGTAACGCTCCTGAAAGAGCCAACGCCAACAATAAACGGCTCTAAGAACGCCAGATTTGAGAGCGAAGGGAGGAGAGAAGCCGTGAGAATCGGGGCCAACCTCGGACAGCTCCTGGCAGCGCAGCTCGGCATCGAGGGCGCTCAGGCGGCGCTGCACGTCGGCACGAAGGAACGCGCGCGTCAGGCGAAGCTTCTCCTGAACGCTCTCCTGGGGAGGGGGG